TTCCATAATTCTTTTTCCAAAGGGTGTGATTGCAGATATGTTACCCTTTCCTATACAAGAAAGTGATCCTCCAGTAAGTACTGTACGTGAAGAATTGAGACATGATGTTCCCATTTTATTGACATTTTCCATAATTCTTTTTCCTCAACTCAACTTTTGTTTCATTAATGCTGCTAACAGGAATACTCTGAGATAGGACACTTGGATGTTCAAGAATCGAGCTCAGCTCCTTCGGGAACTGTAAGTTGACTCATTATACTTTCAATTTGAAAAAAACGAAATCGACTTCATTTTACGCAATAGGTTATAGACAAATCTTTAAAAGGTACTACAATTGAAATCTCCAGGATCGATATCCATTTCCATTGACTTTTTGCTGTTCTTTACTATGATCTTGAAAAATCACTAAAATTTGTACGAAGATCCTGTAAACTCCCTGCAATTTTCAAAGTGTAATTCTAGAATTCCTTACTTTTTGCATAGCAAAACTATTTTAGTAATTATTATTATTTCTGATGATTTGACAGATCAACAATCGACGAACAAGACAAATCAGACTGATACTAAGGATACAAGAATGGCTTATTACAAGATCACGAAGGACAACTTTTCACATCCCTGACAGTGTGGACTAATGGCCGACTACAATGAACAAGACTATATATATTTATTACATACATATCGATGAGATATATTATTCAACCTTAGAGGATATTAAATAGGCCCGCGTAGATACGGATTTTATCTTTGAGTGTTGGAAAGATCTCTCACGAGTGAGCGTAACAAGAATATGAAATCCGTATCTCCATGTATAGATATTCTTTTTATCGTATAATCATCTTTGAATTCAAATTGTGTCGTAAAATAACTTTCATATACTTCAAATATATAGAGAAACCACGAATATGTTATTTTCACAGTGAAAATCTACTGTTAATATGGACGCAAGTGACAGGCATAGCAATTTATCACTAAAATATGACCTATGGAATGCTTTACATTGAAATAACATGATTATTAAAAATTATAATTATTTGATACTTGTTTAACTTGGTAATATGCTACACTATGGAATGTTTTAAGGTAATCTGCAAGTACTTTCATATTCAGATCACACTGTATATTAGATTATGGTTGGGTTACTCGTTGCGTTGTTTCACAAAACAAAATATGACTATTAAAACAAAACCACCATAGCTCTTACGGCAGGATATAGTTATTTTATGGACTCATGTATTTGGTCGTAATAGTAATGGTCTCGAAATATTTTTTCAAAATAAAGTTATGAATAACTTTGACGATTTGAATATTTTGATATCCAGTCAGCAAGCCAGACGTGGTCAGCGTCTGTTTATCTACAAACGCATTGTATTGTAAATGTGTTGACAGTTATATTGTTCCAAAAGCCAATCCACAACTTCAGATTTGGCAACGAGTACGAGATTGAGTACGAGTACGAGTTTTAAAATTGGTCTTAAGTGTGTTATTTATCATGAATTGCATTCCTGTAAATATTGAAACATTAAACAAATAAAAACACGAAGTGGATTGAAACCAGTATGGACAACACAATTGCCTGTTCCGAAATTCATAAAGGGACTGGTGACTAGTCACAAACTCGATACCGTTTGAAGCAATCAAACAACAGACACCAGCACAAGAAAGAGCATACTAAAATTAGTATAGCTGGTAAGTTTGAGAGTATTCGGATTAATAATTACAGAGTTACAAGCGTTTCAAACTCGAAAAAATTACAAAGAACTTATGGAGCTCTAAAGCAGCGTTCCCAAAAACTATACATTCTCTCTTATTTTTACACTATTAAAAAAAATCCTGCTTGGTGATCGAGTATTTAACTAAATAGTCTCAAACTTGACAAGAACACTAATTATAGTGTGTGGTCTTTTATGTGGCGAGGTTCAGTACTCGATGAATGGACAGTTTTCAAACTCGTTCCAGTCTCCTTTTGAGTTTCGGAGGGCCAATAAAAGCTGGTTTGAAAACTCGTACTCCCTTTGCTATTCATGCTATGGATGTATACACGCTCAGCGACCAGCCTCTACCACTCGAGTAGTACCGTAAAACAGATCCAACAAGCTCAAGAACAAACTAGCAGCATCACTCCAAGTGTGAGAAGAAGTTTCCTTATTCGACGAGAGATTAACCGCAAAGTTACCAAGATGTTTTCA